ACCCATTTCGGCACACCCCTCACACGTTTCGTGGCTCCATAGGGAGCTCCACCGAAGGCCCCAGTGCCCGCGCCCGCATGCGTCAGCCACACCATTTCGGCACACCCCTCACACGCTTCGTGGCTCCATAGGGAGCAAGGCCCAGTGCCCGCGCCCGCATGCGTCAGCCACACCCATTTCGGCACACCCCTCACACGTTTCGTGGCTCCACACCGTTGCGTCGGCACACGTTTCCTCCATAGGGACCGAAGGCCCCAGTGCCATGCGTCGCGGCAGTGCACATCACACGATAGTGCCACACACCCATTTCGGCACACCCCTCACACGTTTCGTGGCTCCATAGGGAGCTCCACCGAAGGCCCCAGTGCCCGCGCCCGCATGCGTCACCCACACCCATTTCGGCACACCCCTCACACGTTTCGTGGCTCCATAGGGAGCTCCACCGAAGGCCCCAGTGCCCGCGCCCGCATGCGTCACCCACACCCATTTCGGCACACCCCTCACACGTTTCGTGGCTCCATAGGGAGCTCCACCGAAGGCCCCAGTGCCCGCGCCCGCATGCGTCACCACACCCATTTCGGCACACCCCTCACACGTTTCGTGGCTCCATAGGGAGCTCCACCGAAGGCCCCAGTGCCCGCGCCCGCATGCGTCACCCACACCCATTTCGGCACACCCCTCACACGTTCGTGGCTCCATAGGGAGCTCCACCGAAGGCCCCAGTGCCCGCGCCCGCATGCGTCACCCACACCCATTTCGGCACACCCCTCACACGTTTCGTGGCTCCATAGGGAGCTCCACCGAAGGCCCCAGTGCCCGCGCCCGCATGCGTCAGCCACACCCATTTCGGCACACCCCTCACACGTTTCGTGGCTCCATAGGGAGCTCCACCGAAGGCCCCAGTGCCCGCGCCCGCATGCGTCAGCCACACCCATTTCGGCACACCCCTCACACGTTTCGTGGCTCCATAGGGAGCTCACCGAAGGCCCCAGTGCCCGCGCCCGCATGCGTCAGCCACACCGATTTCGGCACACCCCTCACACGTTTCGTGGCACCATGGGAGCTCCACCGAAGGCCCCAGTGCCCGCGCCCGCATGCGTCAACCACACACATTTCGGCACACCCCTCACACGTTTCGTGGCCCCATATGGGGGCTCCACCGAAGGCCCCAGTGCCCGCGCCCGCATGCGTCAGCTACATTTGTCGGCACACCCCTCAAACGTTTCGTGGTCCCATAGGGAGCTCCACCGAAGGCCCCAGTGCCCGCGCCCGCATGCGTCAGCCACGCCCATTTCGGCTCACCCCTCACACGCTTCGTGGCCCCATAGGGCGCTCCACCGAAGGCCCCAGTGCCCGCGCCCGCATGCGTCAGCCACACCCATTTCGGCACACCCCTCACACGTTTCGTGGTCCCATAGGGAGCTCCACCGAAAGCCCCAGTGCCCGCGCCCGCATGCGTCAGCCACACCCATTTCGGCAACTCCCTCACACGTTTCGTGGCCCCATAGGGAGCTCCACCGAAGGCCCCAATGCTGCCGCACGCATGCGTCCCGCACACCCATCCCCTTCACACGTTGGCCCTATAGGGAGCCCCACCGAAATTTGTAGTGCCAGCTGCGGTATTCACACCTGCACATGATTGGGTCCTTCGTCAAGCTAATTGTTTTTCTGTGCCGTCTGCGGAGCGCACGCGACCCGCATATGCCGTCCCTTAGGGAGGGAATGCCAGCAGCGTAAGCTGGCCAGTGGTGCGCTTGCTTTGAGACGGATTTGCGATGGCCAGTTTCCTCAGCATCATCAGAACGCTGAGGTCACGACGACTTCCAGACGAGGAGTCGCGAAGCTGTGCTACGCTGCCGCGCTGCCGCCCCAAGACGAAGTCACGCTGCAACTTGCAGCGACAGGCCTTGTCCAGACGGAGAGCATGAGCGCTTTGAGCCTGCGTGTGCGGGCAAATGAGGAGGCAGCTCGGGCTGCCGCCTCTGCTGGCGCATAAGGATATTGTGCCCATGATTCGACCCCTCGGGGCCAAAACAAACAGCAAGCCCAAAACGTTACCCAGCCCACCCAACAATAGAGGGAACATACTCCCCGCCACGTCGAGAAGGTTTTAGTACCAAGCCCGTTCACCACCGAAAGAAACGGGGGGGGTCAAAACAATTACCCTGCGACGTACCCAACCCTTCCTACACATGTGGTGGTTGCATTCAATACCGCTCAATGCTGACGGGCGTGCTGAACAACTCGCAGTGTGGACGAAGAGCACCCATCAGCGAACTCAGAAGAGCGCAACAAGAAGAGCAGCGACAACGCGTAAGACGCACCTCTGCTGGGCCTCTCAGGAGTCCACGGAAGTGGCGACAATTGCGCAGATCACAGCCCCCCAAGGCACCGCGAGGTCTCGAGGTGGTCCGCGTGGGACGTACCTCCGCTGGGCCTCGGCGACAATTGCGCAGATCGCAGCCCCCCAGGGCGCCGCGAAGTCTCAAGGTGGTCCGCGTGGGACGTACCTCCGCTGGACCTCCCAGGAGCCAGCGAAAGCTGCGACACTTGCGCAGGTGGCAGCCCCCCAGGGCGCCGCGAGTTCTCGATATGGTCCGCGTAGGACGTACCTCCGCTGGGCACACCAGGAGCCCACGAACGCGCCGCGAGGTCTCGAGGTGGTCCGCGTGGGACGTACTTCCGCTGGGCCTCCCAGGAGTCTGCGAAAGCGGCGACAGTTGCGCAGATCGCAGCCCCCCAAGGCGCCGCGAGTTCTCGAGGTGGTCCGCGTGGGACGTACCTCCGCTGGGCCTCCCAGGAGCCCACGAACGTGGCGACAATTGCGCGGATCGCAACCCCCTCCCCCGCCCAAGGCGCCGCGAGGTCGTCCGTCCGCTGGGCCTCCCAGGAGCACACGAAAGTGGCGACAATTGCGCAGATCGCAGCCCCCCAGGGCGCCGCGAGGTCTCGAGGTGGTCCGCGTGGGACGTACCTCTGCTGGGCCCCCCAAGAGCCCACGAAAGTGGCGACGCAGATCGCAGCCCCCAGGGCACCTCGAGGTCTCGATGTGATCCGCGTGGGACCCACCTCCGCTGGGCCTCCCAGGAGCCCACGAAAGTGGCGACAATTGCGCAGATCGCAGCCCCCAGGGCACCGCGAGGTCTCGAGGTGCTCCGCACGGGACCCGCCCCCGCTGGGTCTCCCAGGAGCCCGCGAAAGCCTGCGACAATTGCGCAGATCGCAGCCCCCAGGGCACCGCGAGGTCTCGAGGTTGTCCGCGTGGGACGTACCTCCGCTGGGCCTCCCAAGAGCCCACGAAAGTGGCGACAGTTGCGCAGATCGCAGCCCCCAGGGCGCCGCGAGGTCTCGCGCTGGTCCGCGTGGGACCCACCTCCGCTGGGCCTCCCAGGAGCCAACGAAAGAGTGACGACAATTGCGCAGATCGCAGCCCCGCGGGCACCGCAAGGTCTCGAGGTGGTCCGCGTGGGACCCACCTCCGCTGGGCCTCCCAGGAGCCCACGGACAATGGCGACAATTGCGCAGATCACAACCCTCAGGGCACCGCGAGGTCTCGAGGTGGTCCGCGTGGGACCCACCTCCGCTGGGCCTCCCAGGAGCCCGCGAAAGAGTGATGACAATTGCGCAAATCGCAGCCCCCAGGGCACCGCGAGGTCTCGAGGTGGTCCGCGTGGGACGTACCTCCGCTGGGCACACCAGGAGCCCCAAGGCACCGCGAGGTCTCCAGGTGGTCCGCGTGGGACCTGCCTCCGCTGGGCCTCCCAGGTGCCTGCGAAAGTGGCGACAGTTGCGCAGGTCGCAGCCTTCAAGGCGCCGCGAGGTCTCGCGGTGGTCCGCGTGGGACGTACCTCCGCTGTGCCTCCCAGGAGCACACGAAAGTGGCGACAATTGCGCAGATCGCAGCCCCCAGGGCACCGCGAGGTCTCGCGGTGGTCCGCGTGGGGCCCACCCAACCATAGGAGGGTTGGGAAAAAACCTTTCGCGGTGATGCCATCGGAGATCCCCACATCACGATACCCTGCTCGCTCTGGGCGGGACCTCCCTGGAAGGGTGGGAGAATCACGAAACTTGAGAGATGGTGCGGTAAAAAGATGCCCGTGGTGGGGACGTGGAGACGGGTTAAAGAGAGCTTGGTCCTTGGGGATAAGAATCTTCGGCCTCGGCCTCGCCGCCCCCCGCCGCCGACAGAGGGTGTCTTGGCAGGAGATGATCAACTCTACGGTGTTCAGTGGGGGGTCTGTATTATCACCTGGGCCATGCGGTGACACGGTGCAGTCTGTGTGGTGCAGGCTGTGCAGCCGCCCAGCGCGCGAAGCACCCACGGGCGGCCCCGGGCAAGCATCAGGCGGAACGTCGGCACCACCAATCAGTGCGCGAGGCGCCCGCAAGGCGCCCACGAGGCCACAGGCGGGCACCACGGCCACCAACTGGGCACTGGGCAGAACTCTGCAAGACCCATCCCAATCCCTCACGGACACAAAGGTAGAACGCTCTGCTCCGGAGCCAAAAGTTTAAGAGCGCCCAATGCAAGCACAGCCTTTTGAGTACACATGCTTTCGCATACACCGATCCTGGCCAGCAGCCCCCTGGGCCCCAGCATCGGTGTATACACCCTGAAGGCTTGATGCGTCAGGTGTCGTAGAATCGCACCCCAGGATTACCTGGGGTCCACTGCGGCTAGCCTTTCACACCAGATCGGTCGCTGACGGCCCCCAGGGCCCGAAACTGGCCCTCCAAAGGCGAAATCGAGGAGAAGCATCCGGCGCAAAATTTACCCTGATCACCCTCAACAAAAATCAGAAGTCGCTACTGGGTCCGTCAATTTCAAATGAGACAGGCACGAACGCACACACGTACGTCCCGCAAGGCCTGGAGACTCTTCGAAAACATCTTGGGGGCGATTGAGGGCCCTCTGGAGCTGCGGTCTAAGATCGATCAGGGGAATCTGGCTGGTTTGTGGGCCTGGCCCAAACTCACCTGCCCTCGCTCACTCTCTGACCCCAGCAGCACGCGCGAGACGATTGCTTAGGTGCCTGAACGGTCTTACTCTGTCACACAGAAACACGCGCCCCTCACTCTTACCCTCAACTACAAGCCTCTTTTCTCCCGCTCTCCGCGGACTCTCGTTGGGCAATTCCGCACAGCTGCGATGAGGGGGGGTCGCTTGCCCCCCCCCCCCGCTCAGCTGCCCGCTCAGGAGAAAATTCGAACTACTGCATCCGCGACTGCAGCATCACCAGCCTCCGTGTCGCTGTCAGAATTCACGGCTCTATCGAACAAGACCTGTTGCTCGACTACGTCGATGTCAACATATCTGAGAAACTGCGATGATTTCCACTCGCCTGCTGCCAATATGGCACCTAGGGACTCGCCCTGACTTGCCAATTCAGTCGCTCTCCCTGCCCGGAACGACTTCAGGGAGAACGCTGCCGCTCCTGGTACCAATGCCAGGGTGAGAAATCGCCGCAAAGCGCTGACAAAGACGCTGCCGCTGAAAGTAAACAATTTCTGACCGCAAGCTCTGCTTTGTAAGAACGCTCCTATCCTGTGCACAGGGCACAAGCGTTCGCCTATACGAGTACACGAACACTTTCTGGCGAGATGGGAGCCGGCTGGACGGTGCTTCCTTCGCCGGAAAAGCAGGTGCAATGCTCCGTCTGCAATCCAGACTGAAGAATGCCTCCCTGCCGGCAACGCACCTTCCTCCCGCGCAGCTCCAGCTTCCAGCGGGATTCCCTCTGACTGAACTCTCAAGAGAAACGCCCAGCTGATTATCACTAGCTCCTGGAAGCCATCTTGCACGTTCGCTGCGTCAGCAAGCTGCACTACTTTGATCAGGATTGGCGGTGTGGGCAATTGCGAGACTCTGGCTGGTCCACTTGTGAACCGCATAGCTCTCTTATTTACTCCTGCCAGGGTCTGCATCACCTCCTCGCCATGCCATGAAACGTCCAGGCCCAAGTGGACGCAGGTCCACCTCACGTGCCCGACGTAGTTGCTGGCTGTTTTCCCCGACCGGAAAATTGCCAGAAACTCGCGCGCCTGGTCCTCTGAGCGCGGTGGTAGAGTAGCACACGCTGGAAGGCCCTGAATATGGACTGCGAAAGCGTGCCAGGCACGGAGGGCACTTGAGACACTTGCTAGCGATGCTCTAGCCGACTCCATTTTAAGGAGCCTCGCTCTTGGAGCACACTCAAAGGATTACCTCCCTGTTCCCTCGCAGCCTTCGACTTATTGATGACCTCCATGGGTCTCGCTCCCTGGTCCAGGTCCGCGATGCCCATGCCCTTCAGCTCTGATAGAACATGGCTTTCAAGTTCCTGCACTACCTGCGGTGATATGGAGTCAACGAAACTCTCAGCAGATGACGTCGCTGGCCGGGCCTGCGCTCCTGCGTGGCTCAGCTGCGCCGTCGGCTGCACCAGTGACGCACGTGCCAGCAAGCGTTCCAACGCAGCCTGAAGCACCGGCGAGTCCGTGACTCCTTTGAGCTCGGCGGCCGTCAAACCACCCAGATGACTGATGTGGTTGAAACCGCGCAATGTGAGTATGAGCCCTAGACGCTGGCGTACATGACGCGGCAGCGGCGGCGAGTCCATCTCTTCTAGCACATCTGACCATACGTTCACCGCGCAGAGGAAAGATTCGTTCTTGAACCCTTTCAACTCGCCCAGCAAATCCGCACGCATTATGTCCAGCGTGTCAGTCCCTCTGACGTCCAAGAGCCATTTCTGCTTCAACACCCTGGCAAATATTACTGCGCGGGGGTGCGGCGACCGTCTCCAAAGGGACGCATCCGCCACAAGGTGGCCAATTCCCGTTACTGCCAGAATCTGCCTCGTCACCTTCAGTTGGCCCGAAGACTTCAGCAATGGGAACATCCGAAGATGGTCGCCTCGCACGAGCGCCGCAAGGACTTGGTCTCTCAGGGCAAACGCCCTAGCACATTCATGCGGACATTCAACCCGCGACGTGATGTCTTTGGACCTTTTTGGGGAGTAAGACACCTGCTGCACGAAGTTGTGTGGTAGACCACCTCGCTTCTCCAGCCGGCACGGCGCTGCGTTCGTGGCTGCTCTTGGACATCTCTGGCTGCTCAGCGCACCACCTCGAATGAACAAGAAAACAGATGACTGCTGCCCTTGCCAATATGGAATACATGCACGAGGGGGCGGGCGGGCGGCAAGTTTCCGTGCAACGCCCTGTGAGCCACCTGAGCCCAAATGGCTACGGGCCCTGCCGTGCAGACCACAAGATGCCTGCTCTCTCCGGGTGTGAGGACACCTGCCAACAGGGATCGGGTCCAGACCTCCTGGCGCAACCAAGATGCCGAGAGCACCTGGTCGATGGGGCGGGGTCAAAGAGCTCCAGGGCCCACGACAACCGACCACGCACCAGCGCACCCTGCCGACTGGGACGGGGTCAAAAAGCTCCAGGGCCCAAAAAAAAACGACCACGCACCAGCTGGAAGGTGCAGAGCTCCCTCCACGAGCGGCGCCTTCAACGCACCCCACAGCACCGACGAGGCAGAAGAAGAGCCTCCTGGGGGCGGGGTCGATAGCTCCGGGGCGCGCAAAACGACAGAGGGACCGCCGTCCTCGCGCCCGCTCTGCTCTGGAGGCCTGTGCGCTGACTGCTCGCTACGTCCCCCTGCTGCTTTTGGGTCAGGCGTAGAAGACGACCGAGGGGGAAAGGAGGAAAAGGGGGAGGGAAACCGGCACAAGGCGCAAAGAGGGACAAGTCAAACCTCCTTCGCCGGAGCTCAGGCTCCCTGCTCCAGCCCCCAGTCGCCGTTGCGACAGAGTGTTCGTTGTCGAGCTCATTTGGGCAAGCACCCAACGAGTTGGGTTTCCGCCCAAACTCACCTGCCCTCGCTCACTCTCTGACCCCAGCAGCACGCGCGAGACGATTGTTTAGGTGCCTGAACGGTCTTACTCTGTCACACAGAAACACGCGCCCCTCAGTCTTACCCTCAACTACAAGCCTCTCTTCTCCCGCTCTCCGCGGACTCTCGTTGGGCAATTCCGCACAGCTGCGATGAGCGGGGGTCGCTTGCCCCCAACGCTGCCGACCCCAACGCTGCCTCAGAAGAGCCATTGCAACAACTGTTCCTGTTTCAATCAGACGGATCACAAAAGGAAAGAAACCATAATGATTATTTTCCGCCGGTCGCAAAATGTCCCAGTCCCATGCGTTCAGGAGCCACTTGGGCAAGGTTGGCTCTACAAACTTAGCTGAAAGCTGATGCATCATGCTAAGATCATTGCGAGATGGGCCATCTGCCAAATTCGCTTCCGATTCTACTCTCCCTAACTGGAGAGATATGCCCCTTGATGCCATGTCCAGCCACGTCATTCCTACGCCAAACTTCAACTCTGGAGCGCGGCCGATCCCGTTGATCAGCGCATGGAGTACGCCATCGTTGTCAATGAACTCCATGACCATTGCTTCTGCGATGCCAAAGCTATGACAACCGAGAACGAAACCAAGGAACTCTTGGTAACATATCTGGTTGTCGTCTCTGTCCAGCAGTAAAGCCCAGATCTGCGGAAGAACTGTGGCGCGCGTCCACAACCAGGTGCGGTGGCCCCCTGGTTCACGGAGCGCTGCCGCTGCAGCAATGCACCGAGACTCCCCCGACGCGTCTGTGAACATCGCGACCCTGCGCCTCCGGAGCTCCTCCGCAAGCCGGCGATGTGGAGGGCGTGGGACGAGGTAGTGCTGCCAGAACAGATTTGCTCGCCTCAGCAAAGGTGGCATACCCGGGAGAGGCGCGAAGGCCTGCGCGAAGTACGGCTTAACGAAAGCCCTTCCTACCTTGCACCTGGACGATGTGATTGCTGACCCTAAACGACCCGCAGTACGGATAGCTTCATGCGGTTGCACACATCCAAGTTGAAGCTGAATTTCAAGGTCCCTGAACCACCGCCGTGCTTTGTCCTGAGCTACTATGGATGACGCTGCTCCATCTTCCAAATATACCTCTACTACCGCACCCAAAACGGGTAGCACGAGAGTATCGTCCACGTCCTTTGCTGGATCTGTAACGAGCCCCAACAAAGGAAGGCCCTCCGTTACCAACCAGCCCCCTGTTATCCCTACTCCCCTCCGCGACACGCCAAAGAAATCATCGACGTAACGGAAAAGAGGAGCACGGAACTTGACCAGGACGACGTGCCGGATAAAGCTCCCCAGCCTGTGCCACGCTGCGTTCGCAGCTGATGCTCCGAACATCATGCCGCAGTGACGAGCACGCCGCAAGTTGCCATTCCATGTGAACACGAACCAAGAGAATTCCTCGCGCTCGCTCGCTTTTGGAACGCGCCGGCACGCTTTGGAAGCATCGCGCTTCCAGAGCCGAGGTTCCGCATGATGACGAAGAAAATGAAGCGCTGCCGTAGCCAACTCCTCAATGCCATCGTGCTTGGCCCCGTCAGGAATGAATGTTGCCTTGTTCTGCCCTCCTTCCGTCTCGTCATCTATTGGTCTAGTGCGCCGCCCTTTCGGGCGCTCTTCCCTCGCGGGAAAACCCCTCGCTAAGGTCTTTGACTGCGCTACGTCAAACGACGAGAGTTGAGGGCACGAGCAAAACCCTTCTCGAGCCTCCTCCTGGGTAAGCTGCATGATGTCGTCGTCCCACTCGCTGGGTCGCATCTGGTCTATGATTCTCATGTTCCTTTCAATGCGCTCCCGCCTCAACTGGTCTACCCCCGCGGGGTTCCAGGTGGGCTTGCCGTCTGGCCTCGCGTCCGGGCCGCAGCATGGGAGTTGTCCGATTAACGGGAAGCCACACAGATCATCCATTAAAGATGGGTCCAGTTCTCTATAATTCAACTCAGTAAGCAATGAGTGAAACAACGAATACTTCAGTCGCTTGGCCACAAAATTACTCGAAATATTCGGCCGTTCTCCGTGCAGGTGATCACGGGCACAGCGGGCCGCCCGATGTTCAAGTTCCCTGAACACCGCCAGGCGGAAAGCGTCAATATCTGCTGCTTCGCACTCGCTCTCCCAATCCAAAGCTAAACGAACTTTCTCATTGAGAGCGCCGTGCAAGGCAACCTCTTCGTCCGGGTGCCGTGCTCCGAGTGCGAATGCGATATGCTCCAAGACTGAGAGCCCCTTGGGGGCACCGAGACCACTGGGTACAAAAGGATTCTCAGGGTCAGCCAGCAACTCTCTCTGTCTAGGTAAAGCAATAGCGCCTCCACTGCTACCTTCTGAATCGTCTGAGTCTTCAGAAGATAGTCACCGTGCATCGCCCTTGCCCCCCTTCTTCTTGCTGCTTTTGAAGTCGTGGAACTTCTTGCGCTTGTTGCTGACGTGCCCCTCGCCCTCGACCCACTGCCAGTTCGTGTTGTCGCCTCCTTTCTTCCCGCCGCCGCCTTTGCCGCCCTTCCAATCGGCCTGCTGCTTCTGCAACCACGCGTGCTGCTGCTTCGCCTGGTTGAGCTGCTGGTGGTGCTGCGCGGGGGTTTTGCTGGCCTGCTCCGTCCTCTGCTGGATGGCGTCGGCCGCCGCGTGCTGCTTTGCCATGACTGACTCAAGGGATGCCGGCAACGGGGCTGCAAGTCCAGATGGCGACGAGGGCCCGTACGCCGACCTCAGGCCCGCCTGCGCGAGCACGGCGTCCAAGCGCAAGGTGGCCGCTTCCAAGATATTCTTGTCAATGGAGCGGAACTCCTTCTGGATGTCCAGCTCTGGCTCCGACATGGACGCTCTCTTTGCCAACTGCCTCCGGAACAGGTCATCGTATAAGATGACTAAGAACTTGTTGTGCTGGATGGACTTGCTCTGCTCCACCAACTTGACCAACTCGTCCTTGTAGCACGCAACGGTTGCCCATGTAAGCTGTTTCATGGCCACCGCTGCCACTGCGTACCTGTCAAACGCCGTTGTCCACTGCACGAAGGACCTGAAGAACCGGCGGGTTGTTGTAGCACTCCGCAAGGCACTGGTGAGTTGACCAAGCGTCGCGACAGAGATCGACGGGTCAAGCGGTGTACCCCGTTCGCCTCCCGTGAGCGCTTTCCCTCAGATTGTATCCGAAGGAAGCCACAGTGGCAAGACCTCTTTGGCCGTCAGGTCTATGTGCGAAAACGATTTCCGCTGGTCCTTTTCAGCGGCAGCGTTCTCTGCGTGCAAAACCCGCCACACCAGCTCCTCTGCCTGCATATGGAACGGGAGTCCCTCGAGACCCGCTTTTGCCAGCTTGTCTGCAGCATTCACCTTTTCAGGCGCTACTGCTAAAAGCTTGGCCACCACCTCGGCAGAATACTCGGGCCCAACCATGTCCAGGACGTCCTGCTGCATGGCTTGGGGGAGTGATTGCTGGGTCTGCGGGGTGAGAACAGATGCAGCAGGTGCTGATGAGGCACCACTGCTCTGCTTCTCTGGGTTTGCCAGGCGAATCGCTCGTCGAGCTAAGCCTAGCACTGGTAGGGATAAGTCTGGTTTCACGTCACTCTCTTTCAGGCCAACTAACTGGCCCGGCTCAGACACCCCATTGTCCGTGAAGTACGTCTCTGTCGCCCTCAACACCTCGGGCGTCGGCTCCTTGGCGTCCACTGACTTGAGGAAGCTGTTCAACGTCACCTCCGCCATGGGTCGCCTGTGGGGGATCTGAAGCAGAAAGTTTCCGTGCAACGCCCTGTGAGCCACCTGATCCCAGATGGCTACGGACCCTGCCGCGCAGACCACAAGATGCCTGCTCTCTCCGGGTGTGAGGACACCTGCCAACAGGGATCGGGTCCAGACCTCCTGGCGCAACCAAGATGCCGAGAGCACCTGGTCGATGGGACGGGGTCAAAGAGCTCCAGGGCCCACGACAAACGACCACGCACCAGCGCACCCTGCCGACTGGGACGGGGTCAAAAAGCTCCAGGGCCCCCAAAAAACGACCACGCACCAGCTGGAAGGTGCAGAGCTCCCTCCACGAGCGGCGCCTTCAACACACCCACAGCACCGACGAGGCAGAAGAAGAGCCTCCTGGGGACGGGGTCGATAGCTCCGGGGCGCGCAAAACGACAGAGGGACCACCGTCCTCGCGCCCGCTCTGCTCTGGAGGCCTGTGCGCTGACTGCTCGCTACGTCCCCCTGCTGCTTTTGGGTCAGGCGTAGAAGACGACCGAGGGGGAAAGGAGGAAAAGGGGGAGGGAAACCGGCACAAGGCGCAAAGGGGGACAAGTCAAACCTCCTTCGCCGGAGCTCAGGCTCCCTGCTCCAGCCCCCAGTCGCCGTTGCGACAGAGTGTTCGTTGTCAAGCTCATTTGGGCAAGCACCCAACGAGTTGGGTTTCCACCAGAGGCCTGGCCAGAGGCCTCATAAACGCATCCTGGGGTCTCGGGTGATTCTTTGGACCCTCTTTCGGGCCTCTTGTGAATCTTTTGGGGCCTCTCAGAGGCCGTTGGCGGCCTCGGTGGGACATGTTTGGGCGGCGTGCTCGAAATGGCAGCTCGGTTTCCCCCTGTTGGGCCCTCCTGGACCGTCTTCGGGGCTTCTTGGTCCGTCTTGGTGCCTCTTGGGCCGTCTGGGGGACCTCCAGGGAATCTTTTGGCCAGTCCTGGGGCGATTTGGGAGACCTCTTGGGCCGTCTTGGACCGTGTTGAAATCGAAAAGGGGCATGTGCTAAAAATGTATGTCTCCCCACAGGAATGGAACGATTTCTGCTTATCTGGGCCCTCTTGGGGGTCCTCTTGGAGCGGTCTTGAAGCGTCGTGGACGCCTTTTAGGCCGCTTTAAAAGCATCCCGACCCGTCGGAGACCCCTGGAGGGCGTCATGGAGGCGACTCGGGAACGTCTTGGGCTGCCGGGGCGGCTGCCAGAATCCACTCGGAAGCGATTTCCGCCCCTAACTCCTCCTCACTCTGCACCCTTCCCGTCGGGAGCAAGCGTCCCCCCGCTCCGGCCTGTTGGAGGAGCTCGGCGCAGAGCCGCGCGCGGCCACGACGGGGGACGCGTCCTGGGGACGCAAAAACGACACCGCTGCCGCCACTTCCCAGATCCCTCCCTTTTTAGCAAAACGCCCTCTAGGGAGAGCTGCAAGGGACACTCCATGTGCGCACGGCACCGCATTCCGAATGCACCCCTGCGGGGTAGATCATCGACGTCCACAAATTCGCCGGCCCAACGGGCCAGAGGCGTGCTAAGATCTCCGGTAACTGGTTAACAATTCTCTAGTTCGCGCGCGCGCGGGGCGGCCCCTGGGGGTCCCCGGACGAAAAGTACCCCGGGCGATCCCCGACCGACCCCCGAGCGATCCCCGGGAGATTCCCCCAGAGCGCTCCAGGAGCGCTCCATGAGCGCACCAACAGGGCTCCGAGACGTCCCCGAGAGCCCCAAGAAAGGCCAAGAGGCCCCCAAGAGGCCCCCAAGATGGTACACGAGGGGTCCGACATGCCACAAGATCGCTCCAAGACGCCCAAGATAGCCCCCAGACGCCCCAAGAGGCCTCCAAGAGCACTCCCAAGAGGGCCCCCGGAGGCAAAATTCATTGTTTTTCCTTAGGTTTTTGAAAGATTTTGGAGCTTCCACCTTTTCGGCTTCCCGACGCCCCAAGACGGCCCAAGAGGCCCCCAAGATCGCCCCAAGAGGGCCCAAGAGGCCCCCAAGAGGGCCCCAAGATGGCCCAAGAGGGCTCGAAGACGGCCCAAGAAGCCTCCAAGACGGTCCAAGAGGGCCCCAAGAACGCCCCCAAAGGGGCCCCAGAGAGGGAACACGAAACAACATTTCGAGCCCTCGGCCCTAAGAAGCCCCTACGAGGCCCCAAGAGGCCCCTAAGAGGCCCCAAGAGGCCCCCACGAGGCCCTCAGGAGGCCCCCAAGAGTCCCCCAAGCGGCCCCAGGAGGCCCCCCAAATGCCCCCCCGAGCGCCCCAGGAGTCCCCCAAGCGGCCCCAGGAACCCCCAAAGCGCCGCATTGACACCAGGCCCTCGGGCAAACGGCAGACATGAGACTGTATGGGCCGGCGGAATGAGCGAAGCGATTGAATAATATGATGTATTCGGCGACGCGCACGTCGATTAGCGAAACCGACTGGGGACTATCCCCGTACACTCGAGAGTCAATTTCGAGTGAACCTGTGCAGACTTCCTTAGTCGACTTGTCTGTGGAGGCGTGCTGTCAATGCCCGACCTCCTGGGGTGCTCTCTGACAACTATTTCGAGGCGAGTCTGGCCATGGCGACGAGGGACATGTGAGCGACGAGAAAAAACTGGTCTTACGCGAGAAGACATGGCAACCTTCCGCCGCGGCTTACCGCGGGCCGCCAGCGTGGCACACCGTGCGGAGAAGAGGGCGCTTCAGCCTGCCCTCGCGCGGGGAGCTTGCGCGCGGGTGCCCGCGCAATCGAAAATCGTGTTGCGTCACCTGTGCAGAGGTATCGGTACTTGTTCCTCCTCCGGTGTCCGACACGTCCGACATCCCCCCGCAGGAGGTGGCTGATAAGAAGCTGGAGTACGGGCTCGGGACGTCGGTGGAAGCCTCGCTGAAGACCTCGGGCTGCCAGCGGGCGGGGGGCGGCGGGTTCGTCGCCGTCGTCGCCGTCGATGTGGGCGAGGTCGCTGTCGTGACGTCGGCGGTTTCGGCCGCGCCTCCCGGCCCAGAAGCATCCGCTGGGGTGCGTTCACGCTGCGCCCCAAGACGTCCAGTGCCCCGGGCGGTTGCGCGGTAATGGCGGCGGCCTTGCCGAGGACGCCGCCACGGCAAAAGTCGCCTCGAAATCGCAACCCGTACGCGACGCGGGAGGGGTCTGGGGCAGGAAGGGGCCCAAGACCTTCAGGCGCCGTGGAACAAAACATGATCGACCCACGAACCCGGAAAGGAATATAGAAGTGTAAGACATGGCAACGTTTCAAAGACACCTGACTGGGCGACGGGTAAATGCAATGCTGAATGTATCGAACTTGATGTACCGTGCCGACGGCTGTGCCGTGCTACGCCGTGCTGAACTGCCATGTGCCATGCCGCGATTGTGCTCTATATATAGCGTTGTGGATCGAGTCCTCGTTGCCACCGAGTCCTGACCGAACTGATCTGGATCTTAAGCTCGAGTTGCCTGAGCAGATGGTAGCTGCCCCAGAGCTAATCGACAGACGTGACATACCAGGAAGACGCGCCGCGGAACGTCCCAAGGGACGCGCCAGGCGACGTGCCAGGGGACGTGCCATGGGCACGCACCGCGGGACGTGCCAAGGGGGCGCGCTGCGGAACGTGCCAATGGACGTGCCGCGGGACGTGCCAGGGGACGCGCCGCGCGACGTGCCAGGTGGACTCGCCACGGAACGCACCAAGGAACGTGCCAAGGTGCAATGTTCAGTGTATCGATCTTGATGTACCGTGGCGAAGGCTGTGCCGTGTTTGGCCCATTGCAGCCTGGCATGCTGCCTGGCACGTTGCGCGGAGCGTCCCGTGGCGAGTCCACCTGGCACGTCGCGCGGTGCACGTCCATTGGCACGTTCCGTAGCGCGTCTCTTTGGCACGTCCCGCGGTGCGTCCCCATGGCACGTCCCCTGGCACTTCGCCTGGCGCGTCCCTTGGGACGTTCCGCGGCGCGTCTTCCTGGCATGTCCCCTCTGTCGATTAGCTTTGGGGCAGCTACCATCTGCTCAGGCAGCTCGAGCTTTAAGATCCAGATCAGTTCGGTCAGGACTCGGTGGCAACGAGGACTCGATCCACAACGCTATACATACAACACAATCGCGGCATGCTGAGGGTATCGATGTTGATGTACCGTGCCGAGGGCTGTGCTGTGCCTGGGCGACCTGGACACGTGAAAACACACGTTTCGCTCATGACGTTCTCAGCACATCCTCATGCTAGACATCCGCCTGTGCCACCTGGACACGTGCAAACAAGCGTCTCGATCGAGACTTCCTCGACACATCCTCATGCTAGACATCCGCCTGGGCGACGAGGACGCGTCAAACCAAGCGTCTCGCTCGATCCTCAGCAAATCCTGGCGCTAGACCTCTGTCTGGGCAACCTGGAGGCGTGAAACCAAGCGTCTCGCTCGAGACATCCTCAAGACCTGGGCACGTGAAAACAAGCATTTCACTTGAGAGATCCTCCGAATTCATGTCCCCAGGAGAGGACAATCTATAACACAAAACAAGCGTTTCGCTCGAGACATCCTCAACGAATTCTGAAAAACAAGCGTTTCGCTCGAGACATCCTCAAATTTTAATTCGCCGGCCCTACGCGACCTCGTTATTTATCGCAAAAGAAATTCGCCGGCCCTACAGCCGTCAAAACCGGGGGGAACAAAACTAAAAGAGAACCCTGGGCCTATGCCCTTTCCGGGAAAAACACGCTGGCAGGCCTGCAGTCGGAGATTCGGCAGTGATAGCGAGCATGGGCGAGCGCCCAGCATGGCGAGCATGGCCTGCAGGGCGCCCCGCGGGGGTTCGAGAGAAGTGTAAGGCCCGTCGGGCGTCTGGCGAAGGACGCTCGGAACACGGCTGTGGCAACCGTCTTGCGAACGTCCTTCGCCAGACTCGGGAGACAGCCAGGCTGTCTCGGGTGCTCCTTAAGGGGGGGGGCTATCCGCCGGCCCCCTTGCGGGGCCACCGGGCTGCGAGGGTGAGGATTGCAGCTCCCCTGTTCCAGTTGCAGTTTCCAATTTCCACTGTTACAGTCCTGCTGTCTGCTTCCTTACTGTTGATTGCTGCTGAACGCGCGAGGGGGGGGAACCCCAAACCAGCTTTTTTACCACGCCCAGATCGCGTTGTCTGAATTCCTGGGGGGACGTAACAATGCATGATATTCGCGTCCCCGAGGCCATAAACCCTTGCAAATAATGCAAGATTCGCGTCCTCGAAACCATAATTCCTAGTAAATTACGCGATGCGTGCGTCCCCGAGGCCACACGCAATGTCTGCGTCCCCGACGCCATAAACATTGTAAATTACATGCGATTCGCGTCCCCGAGGCCATGCACCCCCGTAAATGACATCATATTCGCGCCCTCGAGGCCATAAACCCTGGTAAATTATACCAGATTCGCGTCCCCAAAGCCATACAACTTTGTAAGGTACGCAATCGTTGCGGCCTCGAGGCCATAAACCCTGGTAAATTACGCGATACTCGCATCCCTGGAGCCATACACACTCGTAAATTATACAATATTTGTAGTTGTGAGATATTCCGCAGTGTGTGAAGTCCTGACATTGCTTCACGTCAGCGTCCAGACATCCCAACGCAGCTCTGGCAAGTCCCATTCTAAGAGAGGGGGGCCGGCGGCATGGGGGCGAAGCCCTTACGGATAACGTGGGGTGAGGAAACGTGCGCCTTTCGTGCATCTTTTGGGCCCGAGGTTGCAGTTTAGGGGCCGTTTGGGGCAATTTGCCTGCATTCCTGCATCACCCACGTCATGGACCCCCCGTTGCAGTCGGCCCGATTGTCTGGCGACACTGCTTTTTACGTCGCAGCGCGGAAGAAACGATCCGTTCGCGAGCCCCAGTAGCCGGGGGCGCGTGGCGTACAAATTAACCGGCAGCAAGACAAGGAAGGAGGACGATGGCGGCCGCAGAAAGCAGGTGGGTGAAGGAGGGCACATACCGCAGAATATGTTCAGCACAGCATGAGTGGCCGGAGCGGCCAGCCCGTGCTGGGGCGACCTGGCAGTGGGCGCGGAGGGACATCGCGAACACACCAAGGGGCTGAAAACAAGGCTGCAGGCGCTGAAAGAGGGGGGGGACCCAGCGGCCCTCGAAAATGCTGACAGTTGCGCAGATCGCAGCCACCCAGGGATGGCGAGCTCTAATCTGAGCCTGGGTATGGCGACACTGTGTTTACACCCCCCAGTAGCCCTTACAAAATGGCGATCGATTAGCAAATCGCAGCCCCACAAGGGTGGTGAGGTCGAATCTGAGCCTGCGCAAGACGTTACTGAGCTGGCCACGCCCGCAGCCTTCTAAACTGGCGACAATTGCGCAGATCGCAGCCGCTAAGGGATGGCGAGGTCCAATCTCTGTGCTGGACCCCACCAGCAACCCTGGAAAAGGGGCGCTATGAGCTTCCTGCCAATGTCTCTTCACCCAGAGCATTTTCGATCCAGAAATTGTCACGAAGACAATGCTGATAGCCAACCCACGCGGGTGGACACAATATCCATCAGGCCACGCGGCCAAAATCATCAACACCACCACCACTACTACCACCACCATAGCAACCCACCTGCTCTACTGACGCGCAACCTTTAATGCCGCTGATACCCTACCACGTCTACAACCACCACTCCATTCCTCCTTCACCGCTTCATCCTCCGCCACCCTGCATAGCCTGACCTTTTTCTGTCCTTCCCCTCTGCTGTGCCAACTCGACCTCCTCTCACCCCCTTTCCCTCCGCCCCCTCATGCCTATCCCCCTCATCCATCCGCGATTTTCCGCCCCTCCCTCCTCCAATTATTCCTCTCTCTCCTCCGCCCCTCCTGCTACTCCTCCTCCTCTTCCTTTTCCTCCTCTTCTTCCTCGCCTTCTCCGTCCTCGGTGCCTCTCCCCCGATGCCCCCCCCCACTGCCCGCCCGCTCGTTCGTCGGGTCGGGCGAAAGGGGGGGATAGCAAAGGGGGGGGGTTGAGAATCAGCTCACGTAGCTGATTTTCCCGGTGCCTCCCGGCGCCGGAGGCGGCTATGTATCGAGGAATGGGCCCCTCTGTGAGGCCGAAACCAGCTGCATGCAGCAAATTTCGTAACCCCCCTTTCCCAATCCCCCCCTTTCGTCCGGCCCGAGTTCGGCCCCTCCCCCCAGGGTCGCCCGACGCCCCGCCCGCGCCGCGGGGGGCCTCCTCGCCGGCGTACTTCAGGCCCGCGAGCAGCGGGCTGGCCGTCGCCAGGAACCCGTCCTGGACGGCAGGGCGGGGCCCCGCGGGCGGGGCGAGGCGAGGCGGGGCGCCCGCCCCCGCTCGGGACTCCCGTGGGCGGAAACACACGCAATACAACGACTGACGATCTCAAACCTGTGATGTGTGTGATAGGCTTGTCTTTGCAGGCGCTCTGCGGTGAGCTTTCGCCGGCCTCGCCAGCTCGTCAGACGGCCTGGACAAGCACAGCTATGGCACGGCCCTCCCTCTTGCCAGCACGCGCGCGCAGGAGCGAGGAGGGGAGGGAAATGGAAGCTACCTTCTGACTGCGCCGCTCCATTTCCGAGGCCTCGCGGGCCGGGGCCCCCGGGCCGCGGCCCCGCGGGCGCGGGGCGCTTTTGTCGCGGATGCCCCGCGTGGAACGTGTCCGTGCGACACCGCGTGCCTGCGAGATCGCGCCCCAGAATCTGGACCGCGAGGGCGCAGATACGGATACGTTCGCCGCTCGTGATGCTTTCTGCTCCACCGCGTGGCGCTGGCGGCTTTCTCGGGTAATTAGTCCTGGCGCCATCGACTGCCCCTCCGCCCAGCAGCCTCGGCGCGCCGGGGTGCTCGGCCCGACCGCAAGGCAAAGAGGGAGCTGCAGCGCCCAGTCGCGCGCGCGCACGCGGGCGCGCTGAAAGGGGAACGTCAATGCGGTCCGGCGGCCTCGCATTCCCAGCGGGAGGAAGGGAGGGAGGACTGAACTGAGGGAGGAGGAAGAGGAGGAGGAGGAGGAGGAGGAGGAGGAGGAGGACGAGGAAGAGGAGGAGGAGGAGGAAGAGGAGGAGGAGCACTTCGGCCACGTCAACAGACGCAGGGCCGCGAAGCGATGTAGCGATGCAGGAGGAGGAGGGGGAAGAGGAGGAGGAGGGCGTCGGCCACGTCAACAGACGCAGGGCCGCTAAGCGATATAGCGATGCAAGAGGAGGAGGAGGAGGAGGAGGCGGCGGAGGAGGAGAACGAGGAGAAAGAGGAGGAGAAGGAGGGGGAGGAGCACAGGCAGGAGGGAAACACCCCATAATTCCACGGGGCGCAGAGGTCGATGATCCTCAGAGCGTGCGCTAGCGCCAACACATGCTGCTCCACTGATGCCCTGCAGCCCATTGCAAGCGGCGCAATGAGGGCCGACACAGGCTGCGTGCTTTCGGCGAAGCTGCACGCAGCACACATTGTGCTAACACACGTTCTGGGGATCATCGAAATGAAGTTGCAAGGGCTGGAAAGGCGCAGTGGCGAACCGAGCAGGCTGCCACAGAGTCGGTGGCGGCAGGGTGGACGGCGGCCCAGCGGCAATCGGGCGCGTGGAGAGGGGGAGAGGAGTCGTCGGGAGGAGGCAAGAGGATGAGAGGGGGGCCTAATTACTGGGGTGTTGCTGGAAGTGGTCTCGTGCCCAGGGTGTCCATATCGTTTGGCGCTAGCTTGGAGCCACTGGAGCCCTCTGAGCCTCGTGAGGGGCACTCCGAAGGCCGTCTCACCTTCGAGGCGGCCGGGGAATGTGAGCTGGATGGGGCCCGAGAAAATCGGTCACACACATACATACATACATACATACATACATACATATGTATGTATGTATGTATGTATGTATATATATATATATATGTGTGTGTGTGTGTGTGTGTGTGTGTGTGTGTGTGTGTGTGTGTGTGTGTGTGTGTGTGTGTGTGTGTGTGTGTGTGTGTGTGTGTGGGGGGGGTGTACGGGCAAATCCGCTCAATATCGGTCCCCAGACCTCTCCCGGGGTCCATCTGGCGCACAGTTTCACCCAAGATCCGTTTGGACAGTCCCAGGGCCCGAAAACAACTCCCAGACACCAGAAAAGTCAAGAACCTTCCTCGAGTCCAGAACCTCGCCCCCCCATCCCGCTGGATGGAACCAGTTTTGGGCCACCTCAGACCCCCAGCCAACTCCAAGCCTGGCGAGGGCGCGATCGCCCGCTGGCGATTGCGGCGGCGCCGCGGAGGGCGGGTCCGGCGGCGCCTGCGGACTCGAGCTCGGCGCCCACTCCCGATCAGGCGGCCCCACCCCGTCCCGAGCCCTCCTCCTCCTCCTCCTCCTCCTCCTCCTCCTCCTCCTCCTCCTCCTCGAGCGTGGCTCGCGGCGCAAGCTTGGTGGTATCGGCAGGGGAGGCAGCCAAGGCTCTGGGCGTGCCGGGAGTGGAAGCAGCGGCCGCTTGGGCGAAGAGCACCAGACTTGGGATGTTGGCGATATTGGCAGATCTAGCCAACACTGTGAAGAAAATGCGGTGTGCTGAAAACTCGCGACCAGAATCATCCTCGCCTTCTTTACGCGGGATCTTCCGACCTGGATCGATCAGCGAGGATCCTGGGGCCCGAAATGGGCCAGCGACAGTCACTCACGAAGCCCGGATGTCAGGGATGGCGAAGATGACGAGGATGGCGACGACGACGCGACCGAGGACGACAATGGGGCCGAGGACGACGACGACTGCGGCCACGACCACGTTGGCGGCGACGGCGACGGATAGGCAACCACATGTGAACCCTGAACGCTGGCCGGGGTTCAGAATTCGAAGGACAACTGCGGCCACATGAGCCCCAGCGGCGCCGTCCGATACCCTGGTGTCGATTGGACCCGCAGGGGTAGGGTCCGCGCGTGGTCGCAGAACGGAGGCGACGGGCCTCGACGCTCGGCGGCGGTGGCGCGCGTGCTGGGCACGCGGAACTCCTTACGACCTCGGAGCGCGGCCCGTCACCGCGCGGTTCTGGGACCTCGGAGGCCTCAGTCGCCCGAGGCGTCCTCGTAGAACGGCTCGAGTCCCAAAACCGCGGGGTGACCCTGGATCCCCACTGACTCATCACACTGGCCCTCCTCCGAATGTTTGGTTTCCGGGACACAACTCGGGTCTCGGGGCGTCTTTTCCGGATGATCTGGGCAGCCCCAGAACGCTCTCGGTGAGGCGCAGCTGCTGGAACGCATCCCGAGGCAGGAACGCCCACAGGAACCCACGAAAGTGTCCGAAGGCCCCGAAGCCCCACCGACTCACCTTGTGGTGACGTTGGGGGCCCCCGAGCACGGAGCTCGGTGGAGCTCGGCGGCTTGCGGCGGGTCCTGGCGCATGCCGCCGCAGCCAGGCGCGGTGCTCAGCCCAGGAAGCAGCGGGCACGGCAGCTGCACCTCGGGGCCAGAGCGCGCCGCCTCGGCGGAAAGGGCCGAGGGAGGAGGCGGAGGCCGAAGGCGAGGGCAAGGACGACAACGTCGACGGGCGCCTCTGGGGACCGCCGTCGTCGTCGTAGGCTTTGGCGGCGTCGGCGTCGTCGTCGCCGTCGCCGTCGGCATCGTCGCCGTCGGCATCGTCGGCGTCGGCGTCTGCGTCGTCGACGTCGTCGTCGTCGGTGTCGTCGTCGTCGGCGTCGTCGGCGTCGTTGTCGCCATTGCCGTCCAGTGGGGCGGCGGCCTTCAGCCGGCCGCTGGAGATTGCCCCGGGGCCCGTGAGGGGCACGGCGCGCCCGCGCGAGCCGCAGCGCGTGCGGAGGCGACGGAGGAGCGGCACCTGCGGATGCGGGGGGGCTGGCGACGGTGGCGACGCCTGCTCTGACACCGGGGACCAGTCTGAGGACGACGACGACGACGGCGGCGACGACGAGCACGACTGAAAATCAGATTAGACAATGCGCTGCGGGCCGCTGCCCACCATCACCCGAGCACATCGAAAATCATCTTCTTCCGAGAACCAGCCCCCACAGCTAGGGGGACGCCAACTGCGCACCTCATCAGATCCTCGACTCAGGGCGGGCCTGGCCAGGATCTGTAGGTGAATGGTTGACGCCATACCACCTGCGGCGGGGACGACGATGGCGGCGGCGGCGACGGCCAGGAGAAAGATTCTAGCGGTTTCCCCAAGTTGTCAAGAAGGCTTCTGGATGAGGCGAAGGATAGAGGAGAAAGGAGAGAAGAGGGACGATGGAAAAGTGGGGAGGGAGAGAGGAGACAGGAGGATGTTGAGAAGGAACAGAAGGAGGGGTCAAGGCCAGGGAGGTGGTCTGACACCAGGGGCACCAAAGGCAGAAACGCATGCAAGGTAAAGCCACCCTATGGGGGGTTGATCTCTGTGTGTTCGAATACACTACGCTGAGATTGCGATGGGCCTGGAAGGGGGCAAGCGCGATTACTGCGCGGCTACGCTTTGCCGACCAACTCCCTACTTCTTCGTGCAAGAGGTCCAGTAGCGATCGGCTCTGGAGGCCCCGTCTCTTGCTAAACCACCGGCCCCACTAATGCCTTGGACGATCCCCATCGTTTTCATCATAGGGTGATGATATGCGTTGTTATGCAATTGCTCATTTTGTGTTGTGCCTTTGCCTTGAATTACTTTCCGATGTATTGCCTTGTGTATCCGCAGTCTGCACTGTTTTACAATATGTGTTATTTCATTGTTTCGCATTGCTTTGCGTGTTGAGTTTAATTCCCCACATGTTTCGTGGGGTTTTGGTTTTCTTCCCTGCCGCAGCGCACCCGCGTCTCCTCCTCACACCTCCCCTCCTCTCTCTTCCTTCCTCCCTTTACCCGCCCTCAACACATGCACGGCCAGTACGTGAGACACGCGTCTACATACAGCCGCACGCATGCACACACTCGCACACACAAGACGCGTGCTCACTGCATCATACACCCAAGACGTATGCACAACATACTGGGCACCCACGTGGGACACACGTTCCGATGCGGCCGCACACGCATCACACACATACATATGAAATGCAATATACAAGGCGTGCGTGTAGGATTCGCAGTGGATGGCAGAAGGCTCTGTGCAGGCCATGGCGCACGGCACGGCAGGCGTGGAACTTTGTCGTCACCAAAGGGGGTGCGCAGCATATGCGCGACAACAAGACGCGTTGCACTTCCTCGGCACCACAGGGGGTGCGCAAGGGGTGGTCTCCTTATCCGTTTCGGGCTCGCAAAAAAGGGGCAGGCGTGGCACTTCCTCGACACCACAAGGGGTGCGCTGGGGGTGGTCTCCCTGTCCGTTTCAGGCTCGCAAAGCGTGGCGGGCGTGGCACTTCTTCGACGCCACAAGGGGTGCGCTTGGGGTGGTCTCCCTATCCGTTTCGGGCTCGCAAAGCGTGGCAGGCGTGGCACTTCCTCGATACCACAGGGGGTGCGCTGGAGGTGGTCTCCCTATCCGTTTGGGGCTCGCAAAGCGTGGTAGGCGTGGCACTTCCTCGACACCACAGGGGGTGCGCTGGGGGTGGTCTCCCTATCCGTTTCGGGCTCGCAAAGCGTGGTAGGCGTGGCACTTCCTCGGCACCACAGGGGGTGCGCTGGGGGTGGTCTCCCTATCCGTTCCGGGCTCGCAAAGCGTGGCGGGTGTGGCACGTCCTCGATACCACAAAAAGGGTGCGCTGGGAATGGTTGCCCTATCCGTTTCGGGCTCGCAAAGCGTGGCGGGCGTGGCACTTCCTCGACACCACAAGGGGGTGCGCTGGGGGTGGTCTCCTTATCCGTGTCGGGCTCACAAAGCGTGGCAGGCGTGGCACTTCCTCGACACCACAAGGAATGCGCTGGGGGTGGTCTCCCTGCCCGTTCCGGGCTCGCAAAGCGTGGCAGGCGTGGCACTTCCTCGACACCACAAGCGGTGCGCTGGGGGTGGTCTCCCTATCTGCTACGGGCCCGCAAAGCGTGGCAAGCGTGGCACTTCCTCGACGCCACAAGGGGTGCGCTTGGGGTGATCTCCCTATCTGTTTCGGGCTCGCAAAGCGTGGCAGGCGTGGCACTTCCTCGGCACCACAGGGGGATGCGCTGGGGGTGGTCTCCCTATCCGTTACAGGCTCGCAAAGCGTGGCGGCGTGGCACTTCCTCGATACCACAGGGGGTGCGGTGGGGGTGGCCTCCCTATCCGTTTCGGGCTCGCAAAGCGTGGCAGGCGTGGCACTTCCTCGGCACCACAGGGGGTGCGCTGGGGGTGGTTTCCCTATCCGTTTGGGGCTCGCAAAGCGTGGTAGGCGTGGCACTTCCTCGACACCACAGGGGGTGCGCTGGGGGTGGTCTCCCTATCCGTTTCGGGCTCGCAAAGCGTGGCGGGCGTGGCACTTCCTCGACGCCACAGGGGGTGCGCTGGGGGTGGTCTCCCTATCTGCTACGGACCCGCAAAGCGTGGCAAGCGTGGCACTTCCTCGTCGCCACAAGGGGTGCGCTTGGGGTGATCTCCCTATCTGTTTCGGGCCCGCAAAGCGTGGCAGGCGTGGCATTTCCTCGACACCACAAGGGAGTGCGCTGGGGGTGGTATCAGGACAACCGACGACGAGTACGACAAGTACGACGACGATTCGCGACGAGGGTTGAGAACGCAGGGTTGTGCATATATCAGATGGTAACGATACGCAAACACATCATACTTAAATGAAGTATGTGGGGGTCCTCGGTAGCGTAATTGATGTGCCTTGCTTTGCATTTTGATAATGCCTTGATTTTCTTGATATGGCGGCTTCTCGCGTGTATAGTCACTTTGTATTGGTCCCCACTTCCCCCACACTGGGGGCAACCCAAACAACCGCTCCGTCAATATCGCCTTCAAGCGTGGCACACTTACACCCGAGTCAGGCGAAGCGGGCCTGCACACCTTTCGGACCACGTCTTGAGATCCAAAATTGTGAGAGCGTCTCAAGCGAAGCGGGCCACAGCACTTCAATTCAGGGCATCTCGCAGTAGCCCGGGGCTCGGAGGATGTCTCAGGCGAAACGTGCCTGAGTATCTCGCGAACCACATCTTGCCCAGAGTTGTGAGGATGTCACATGCGAAACGGGCCAGAGCACCTCGCGAGCCGCATCTTGGAGCCCAGAGGTGTGAGTTGCGAGGATGTCTCAAGCCAAGCGGGCCAGAGAACCTCAACTCAAGGCACCTCGGAGCCCGGGGGTCCGAGGATATATCAGGCAAGAAGGGCCTGAGCAACTCGTGAAGCGCATCTTCAACCCAGAGTTGCGAGGACGCCTCAGGCCAAACGGTCAGAGCCATGGATTCCGAGGATGTCTCAGGCGAAACGTGCCTGAGCACTACTACATCGCGAACCACATCCTGGAATCCAGAATGGCGAGGACATCTCAGACGAAACGGGCCAGACCACCACCTCAATTCAAGGCATCTCTAAGCCTGGGGCTCAGATGAAACGGGACTGAACATCTCAAGCCAGGGCATCTCAGAATCCGGGGTTCCGATGATGTTTCAAACGAAACGGGCCTGAGCACCTCGTGAACCGCCTCTTCATCCCAAAATTGCGAGGACGTCTCCGGTCAAACGGTCAGAGCCAGGGATACGGAGGATGTCTCAGGCGAAACATGCCTGAGCACCTCGCGAACCACATCTTGGAATCCAGAGTGGTGAGGACGCCTCAAGCGAAACGGGCCAGACCACTTCAATTCAGGGCATCTTGAAGCCTGGGTTTCCGAGGGTGTCTCAAGCAAAACAAGCCTGAGTACCTTGCGAACCACATCTTGTAATCCAGAAGTGTGAGGAGGTCTCGAGCGAGACGAGCCAGAGCACATCAAGTCAGGGCATCTCGGAGCCCGAGATTCCGAGGATGGCTTTTTGTAGGCCCTGGGGCGCACCCAACTCTTCTGAAAACAACCCCTCTCCGGCACCTGTTCGGCATCGCCATTGGAGTTGCTGGGGTCGCTCGAATCTGTCTCGGGCGACCCAGGCACCGGGGCTCAGGTGCACTGTCCCCCTCGCCAGCCAAGGCAGGCCCTGGATGGGCTCTAACCAGCCCCAAAAGCTAACCGAAATCGCCAGCGAAGACCTTACGCCCGCAACACTGACTGACCGTTCGAGACATCCCCACAATCTGGGCGCGAACGGGCCCGTGACACACCCTTCGTCGCAGAGCACTGGCCCGCATCACCTCCCCCTCGTCCTCAGTCATCTTGCTCAACGGTTGCTCTGAATTGCGGGGGACGTCTTATGCAAAACTGGCTGGACCCCCTCGCACGCGGCATCTATTTGCCCATAATTGCGGGGAAGTCTCAGGGGAAATCAACAGGATCACCTCGCGGGCGGCAACTTGAAACCTAGTGTAGCGACGGCATCCCTGAACCCAAAAAAATTGACGATGTTTCAGGCGATGTGTGCCAGACCCAGACCATCTTTCGCTTAGCGTCTGAGAGCCCAGAGATGCGAGGATGTCTGAAGCGAAACGGGCCAAACCATGTCAAGTCTGGTCGTCTCGGAACGCAGACTTGTGAGGATATCTCATGCGGAACGAGGCGATTCACCCCAACATGTTGCCAATGTCTCGACGCGCGGGCCCCTCGGGCGGCAATCGTTCTTACCGCCACATTGCCCCCCGGCATCGGCCTGGCGAACCGGGAACACTCCAAGACAAAACCTATTGAACGGAGACAAACAGAAGTTCCGACATAATTTGAAAGACTGGGCGGTAATTGGCCTTGCATTGCTTTGACGCATCATGATTTGCTTTTAGCTTCTTTTGCTTGAACTGCTATACTTTACTTAGCACTGCCTTGACTTGAATTGCCTTGCACCGTACGCCGTTGATTCTCGCTGAGTTGATTTACCCTGCTGCATATTGGATGGCATTGCGAAGCGTCACCATGCACTCTCATGGTATGCCATTACACTTCTGTGTCGTGCCCTGGATTGGTTCAGAAACTACTGCTGCGCATTCCATGGCTTGTGCTGGATGTGCTGACTGCTCGTACTGTGTTGCGTGTATGCATAATGTGCCGCAGCGCACGGCAATATTCACAAGCGCTTCAGCACTTCGAAACAAGGAACAACAAGGCACGCCAAAAGGATCTCGTTCCTCGAAGACGCTACCCGTCATGCAGCTTAAGACAACTGCCCACGACGGAGGCGCATTCCGCCATCTGCCACCGTGCCCCCTGGCACGTTTGAGGCGTGGTAGAGATCGGCGGCGAGCGAGGGCGAGAAGTGAGAAGGAGAATGCCGGCTCAGACGGCTCGGAAGTCCCCCGGCCGCCTTCTGAGAAGTGTTCTGAGCATTCCCCGAAGACAGAACACACACACACACACACTTCTCGGGCAGGCGCGAGGGCTTCTGAGCAGCCCCGCCGCCTTCTGAGAAGGCCCTCCCCTTCGCGGCCTTCGCGTTCCCCCCTCTCGCTCGCCGCCGAAGAAGGCCAAGCGCTGCCTGGACTTCGTTGCACGCATCGCCCCCCGCTCCCGAGGCTCCCGCGGGCGCCCCGACGCCTCCCGGGCGCCTCTCCAGGGCTTTCGGGAGGATGCCCGAGATGGCTACTAAGACTGCTCAGCACAGGCCACCGAGGCCGCCACTCCAAAACGGTCCAAGATGGCCCCCACACGGCCCGAGATGGCCTCAAAGCGACCCAAGAAGAGGACCTCTTGGAAAGCCCGAAGAGGTAAACATCACTGTTTGCCGTTCTCATTTCAACAAATGTGCGCGTTTACACTTTCTCGGGCTTCCGGCAGCCCAAGACGCCTCCAAGATTGTCCCAAGAGGCCCCCGAGACGGCACAAGGAGCTCTCAAGGTGGCCCAAGAGGGCTGAAAGACGGCCCAAGGAGGCCCAAATGCAGCCCAAGAGGCTCTCAATACGACCCTGCTGGGAACCAAGAAGACCCCCTGACGGCCCAGAGAAGCCCCCAAGACGGACTCTGAATGAGCCAGAACGTCCAAGAGCGCCCTCAGCCACATGAGGAAGACGGCGAACACACGCGACGAGATACACCCCGACACGACGCGGACGGGCGTCTCACATGTTACGGCACTGCCAAGCGTAAGGATACGAACATGCGGCTCCGTTTGGGCTCCTCACACAGAATGGTGTGCTGGTACGGTGGCGGGACTTGCCGTGGCAGCTGGATACAGGCTCGCGAAGTCAGAGGGCATCGGCGGAGAGATCGGCAGAGAGAGAGGAGGAGAGGAGAAAGGGGATGGGGAGCTTTAGTGGGGACCGGGCGTGGAGGAGAGGAGATCAAACAGGTAAGCATGGACATTTTAAAAGGGAAGGGTATAGCCAGGATCGTGCAGCGGAAATCGGTGGGCGAGGGTGGGCGAAGGGAACGAGAGACAGAAGGGGCAATAATCACGGCCGAGGTAATACGAAAAATAAGTCAAAGGAGAATCATCAAGACATGGGCACCTTCTTGGTCGGTGGCGGGAAATCCACGCGCACTCCACCGCTCAACGTGATCGGCTTGCACTCGTCAAGCATGTTCTCGTGCATCACTGGGCTGTTCCGGTAGCGCTCGATGTGCTTCGGCAGGCCTTCGTTGGCGATGAGAGCGATAACGGCCATAAATCAGAGTGAGGGGGCCGAACGGTCATTCACTGTCCCTGGGTGCGTGGCTGAAGTGGAATTCCGCGGTGCGGATTCTCGTTGTTGTTGCTGTTGTTGTTGTTGTTGTTGTTGTTGTTTGTTGTTGTTGATGTTTGTTGTTGTTTGTTGTTGTTTGTTGTCGTCGTCCCACCCGCAACCCGCCCCGCGACCCACCCGCGACCCAACCCCGCGACCCACCCCGCGACCCACCCCGCGACCCACCCCGCGACCCACCCCGCGACCCACCCCGCGACCCACCCCGCGACCACCCCGCGACCCACCCGCGCCCCACCCGCGACCCACCCCGCGACCCACCCCGCGACCCACCCCGCGACCCACCCCGCGACCCACCCCGCGACCCACCCCGCGACCCACCCCGCGACCCACCCCGCGACCCACCCGCGACCCACCCGCGACCCACCCGCGACCCACCCGCGACCCACCCGCGACCCACCCGCGACCCACCCCGCGACCCACCCCGCGACCCACCCCGCGACCCACCCCGCGACCCACCCCGCGACCCACCCGCGACCCACCCCGCGACCCACCCGCGCGACCCACCCGCGACCCACCCGCGACCCACCCGCGACCCAAACCGCGCTGAAGGTACAAACCACCATTTTCGGCGGCTGCGGCGGGTTTTTTTGCATCCCTTCCAGGTGGAGAGCCCGCGACCCACCCCGTGACCAACTCGCGACCAACCCGCGTCAGGGTACAAACCACATTTTTCGGCGCCTGCGGCGGGCATCTTTTGCATTCGTTTCAGGTGGAGAGCCCGCGGGCCATCCGCGACCACGTTCAGGGTACAAACTACATGTTTCGGCGCCTGCGGCGGGCATCTTTTGCATTCGTTCCCGGTGGAGAACCCGCGGCCCACCCGCGACCCAAACCACGTTCAGTGTACAAACCAATTTTTGTTGGCGCCTGCGGCGGGTGCTTTTGCATTCCTTCCAGGTGGAGGTGGAGAGCCCGCGACCCACCCGCGACCTAAACCACGTTCACTGAACAAACCAATGCCGCACAACGCGGCGGCGGATTTTCGCATGCCGTCTGAGCCCGCAAGGACCTCTTCAAGCCCCGCGCATCCACACCAGCCCGTCCAGCAACTTTGCCCTGGCGAGTTGCCTTGATCAGAGAAGGCGGGAAGCATAAAGTGGAAAAAAGGACTGCGTTGCAGTTATCTTGGGAAAGGAGGGGAGACAGGAGGAGTAAACAGGGGACGAGGAGAACGCGGCAGAAGAGAGGATGTAAGGATACTGTGGAGAGAGAAAGGAAGAGGAGCAGGAGGACGAGGAGGGGGAGGAAGGGGAGGAGGGGAAGGAGGAGGACGAGGAGGGGGAGGAAGGGGAGATTGATGATGATGGACGACAATGGGAGGACGATGACGGAGGCCGATGAGGGGGAGGACGACGATGGGAGGACGATGATGAAAGGACGAGGGGGGGAGAGGGAGGACGAGGAAGAACAGGAGGAGGAGGAGGAGGGAGGAGGACGAGGAGGAGGATGACGATGACGATGAGGACGAGGACGAGGACGAGGAGGAGGAGGAGGAGGAGGAGGAGGAGGAGGAGGAGGAGAATATCGCCATCGACAAGGAAGGTGGGGGCCACGAGGTCCGCCGGCTCGACAACGCCCGCGTCGCCCGCGCCCGCCCCCTCACTCTTATCTGCAATTGCGGGGTGCTATATACATGCGCAAACCCCGCAGTTGTGGATACGAGTGAGGGGGCAGCGGGTAGGTCGCGAGTGGGTCGCGGGTGGGTCGCCACCGGCAAAACATTATCTTGACTGCGGAAGCTGGCGGAAGCCCACCTCATTCACGCACCCGGCCCGAGGAGGGGCCGCCATCTGGATATTGAAGGAAGTGTGGAGCCGGGAGGAAGGAAATCGCCACCAACACCCAGGATGAATAGCAAATTGTGGGGTTGATGCAGGATGCGAGTGATTAGAAGAAACGTTTTCGTTATCTCGTTTCCACCTCTTCCGTCCCCCCTCCTACCTCCTCCATGTTTCCTCCCCTGTCTTACTTTCCCCAGTGCTCGCTTCTCTCACGGCTGCCCCAAAAAATCGCGTTCTGTGAACGGTGTAGCTGCTAGGTTGAAACCTGTTTTGGCCTCTCGTCTCCGAAACCTTGGAAGCGGATGGAGTCTCGTCATCCGCATCCCTTCCTCTTCCACCCACCACCCCCTTCGTGTTTTTCAGCCCCGTATTCTTCCTTCTTTTCATTCCCCCTCCTTTTCCTTTGTCCTCCATATCATTCCCCCTTTCTCCTTTTCCTCCCCCTCCCGCTTCAGTTCCCTCTTCCCCCTCCGTCTTGGGGAACGTGATGGATGCCGAAGCAGGGTAGCGGCTCGAAACATCGGGCGCCCTGGATCAGACAGGAGCGGCCGCTCTTTTGAAATTTGGGCTCCACGCCGCCAGATCCGTGTTCACGTTTTTTGGTGTTGTTGTTTTTTTCCCTCGCACGTCAGACTATTTATGTGACATCGGACGTATGATTGAGACATGATGCTCACGCCCAGGCCAATGCGATGGCACGAATCTGGTAAAATTCGGCCCGCTTCGGTCAATCGGACAGGCAGTATATTCACAACGTGATGCCAAACGACTTGTCGATTCAAAGACTGGTCTCGCGCACCCAATCCATAAATTCGTGGCCCGCGCTCGCTCGGGCAAGCAATGGTTTCCCAACCACGGCTAACGAGCATAGTGACGGTTCGCTGGTGTGTCGGCGCAGCGTGGCTATTGAAGAAGCACTTGGACACGTCTCCCTCCAAGCCTGACGCAGCGCGAACCAGCGCGAACCTCGAGAAATACACTGCAATACGTCTTATGACTATAGATAGACACTAGAACCACGCGCGCGCTTCGCGCGCGCTTAGGTTCTAGCTAGGAGGCGAGCTTGAGTCAACGAAAGTCGCAGGGAAGGGGGCAGGGGGAAGAAGGCCAGAGAGCGCTGAAGGATACAAATACTGGAACCCTCTTGTGATTTTGTGGGGGGCCTCGTCCGGCCGCTCGCTGGGAGTTTGACGTAGCTTCTCGGGAGCCTCTGAACCTGTCGGGGGCCTCCTGGAAGCAGGTTCGAAGCATTTTGGGAGCCGATTTGGGGCTTCTCGGGGCCTCCTTTGGGCCTCTTGGGGGTCTCCTGGGGCCTCTTGAGGGGCCTCCTTGGGGCCTCCTGGCGGCCTCTTGGGGCGGAAGGCTCGAGCTTGCGGTTCGTGGTCCCCCTCTGGGCCCCCTCTTGGGCCCGTCTTGGGGCCCTCTTGGGCCATCTTGGGCGCCTCTTGGGCCGTCTTGGGGCCCTCTTGGGCTGTCCTGGGGCCCTCTTGGAAGCTTCTTGGGCCGTCTTGGGGCGGTCTTGGAGGCCTCTTGGGCCGTCTTGGACGCGGTGAAAGCCCAAGATGCGAACATGCGAAAAATATACGTTTTCCCAATAGGAATGGCACGATGTTTGTTTCTTGGACCTCTCTTGGGGTGCCTCTCGGAACGTCTTGGGCTGATTTTGGAAGCCTTTTGGCGCCTCTGGGCGGCGTTTTGGCGCCTCCTGGGATATGTTGGGCCGGAAGCTCGGAATTCGAGAGTGGCTTTCTCCTTCTGGGACCCCTCTCGAAGTCGTCTTGGGGTTCTCTTGGGCCGTCTTGGGGCCGTCCTGAGCCACTCGTGCGCAGCCTTGGAGCGCTCCCGGAGGCCTCCTAGGCCGTCTTGGAGGCCTCTTGGGCCGTCTTGGACGCGGTGAAAGCCCAAGATGCGAACATGCGAAAAATATACGTTTTCCCATAGGAATGGCACGATTTTTGTTTCTTGGACCTCTCTTGGGGTGCCTCTCGGAACGTCTTGGGGTGATTTTGGGAGCCTTTTGGCGCCTCTTGGCGGCATTTTGGCGCCTCCTGGAGCCTCTTGGGCCGGAAGCTCGGAATTCGAGGTTGGCTTTCTCCGTCTGGGACCCCTCTCGAACTCGTCTTGGGGCTCTCTTCGGCCGTCTTGGGGCCGTCCTGGGCCACTCGTGCGCAGCCTTGGAGCGCTCCCGGAGGCCTCGTAGACCGTCTTGGGCGCCTCTTGGGCCGTCTTGGACGCGGTGAAAGCCCAAGAGGCGAACATGCGAAAAATATACGTTTTCCCATAGGAATGGCACAATTTTTGCTTCTTGGGCCTCTCTTGGGCTGCCTCTCGGAGCGTCTTGGAGGCTTCTGGGACCTTCTTGGTGTCATGACAGGCGTCTTGGAAAGCATCTGGAGCCATCGGAGCGCGTTCCGAAGCCGCCTGCGAACGATCTTGGACGGCGTCCGGCGGTCCGACGAGCCTCTGGGCCCCCCGGGGCCCACATTTGTGGTCGGGGTCCCGGCCCCGGGCCCCCGGACCCGGTGCGCCGTTATATGTATACGCAGGACTGCACTGGCGCTTCGCGCCATGCGCCTTTTTTTCCGGACGCTTCCCCGGCAATGCAATCCATCATCGCTTACTTCAGCAGGGTGGACTTCGAGGGTTTGACGGGCGATCGGCTAAGTTTTTCGATATACCTGGTGCCTGCTGACACCGCGTTCGCCCGATGCGCTTGCACGCTTGTGCGCATGAGTGGGGAAACAATGCTGATTTTTTCGCGCGCGAAGGGGCTGGCATACGACGAAACATCATACTGTTGTGATGGCACCTGTCCGTGAACGGGGAACGGGAAGGGAGCATGGATGATGGGGGCTGAAGATGCGCAAGGGGGGAGGAATGGGGGGAGAAGCGGGAAAAGGTCCAGAGGAAGGAGCGGGCGAATGAGGATGGCCATCGGATGCCACGAACGTGGAGGTCGACGAAGAAGGCAGAAGGGGGAAGGGAGAGAGAGAAAGACAGAGATCTAGAGAGAAAGAGAGATAAAGAGAGAGAGAGGGAGAAAGGGTGATAGAGGTACGGGAAAAACAGGCGGGCTGGCGTGAGCGCAGCGAGCGCACTGAGAAAAACGT